ATTCTCCCGACGAAACTGCCTACTACAGGTGCGTCATAGTGTTTGTTACATATTCTGTCACTAACTGTCTATATTCGGCCCGAGGCTTATCTTTCGTTATAAGGAATCCATGATCATTGATTAGGTTAATTACATTTGGTATTTATAACTAGTTGCTCCTGGATAATGACACTCTGCTACTGTGATCTCATAACTTCGCATGGAAAGGGAAGGACTGACTGTTTTGTGAAAATGTTGATGGTATTGTACGATTTGAATGAAAGTGTAGGGCATAATAGTTAACAAATTTTTCGCTTTACGCAAACTTTTTTTTCCTTAAGCGAACACCTATGTCTTCTTTTAAAGACTGGAATTGGTGAGAAAACGAAGTATGAAAAGCTGTCATATGTCATGATTCACTAGCACACTTTGCTGCTTTGCTATAGCCACTTCAATTACAGGCACATTCTGTTCTCAGAAAATGTTCTCGAAAGTACAACCATGATTCAGCCGGTCTTGTTCAGCTATTCATTCAGGTTAGTAATTTATGAAAATCTTAAAGTAATTTTTATTTCATTGTTGATTTGAGCGGTCCTCCCGAGCCTGTTCTTCTTGACACATCTTCAATTCTGCCAGACAGAATACTTCTTATGGATGATTATTTCCATGTGTTGATCTATCATGGACAGGTTACTCCCCTTAATATTCAAACAAGTGAATGGATTTTTAGTAGATAAGTTTAGACGATAGCCGCATGGAAAAAGATGAACTATCATGAAGATCCACAATACGCCACCTTCAAGCAATTACTGGAAGCTCCAGTTAGCGACGCGACTGCTATTCTACAAGAACGTTGGCCAATGCCTCGATATATCGTAACGGAGTACGAAGGATCTCAAGTGAGTCAATTTACGCAGTGATCTAGATTTCAACTAATAGTTCAATCTTTTCAGGCTCGTTTCCTGTTATCGAAAGTTAATCCTTCATTGACGCACAATAATCCTTACGCGTCGGTAAGCCGTTCTAATATCAGGTTTTTTAAGTTCACATAATAGCGGGAGGAAGGTTCTGCCTAGGAGTTTACAACAAAATGAATTAGCATTTTGCATTTAAGATGTGAAGTTACCACTTTTTACTACAGTTTCCTTAGAAAGTAGTAGCGCTCCGCACTCGATTTGGGGTGAAGCCATTCAGAGTCTTTGAAACGATTGGTTTTTTTTAGGAAGGAGGAGCTCCAGTCTTTACAGACGATGTTTCTTTACAAGTATTTATGGAGCATCTCAAAAAGCTTGCATCATCTTCATCTACGTAACTCTCACTTGGAGACACTAACATCGAAAACTTCAATTGTCACCAACATGAAGTTGACACTCATGAAGCTGATTGCTATCAAGTCTTCACCCTACGTTCCGTCATTCAACAGTGGTTCCATTTCT